CCTATGCATTTGGGCACCAGCGGAGACACCTAGCTTGGCTGGTGGATGCTCGGGTGGGTAAGCTAAGGCCCCCTCAGGGACAGAGCCAGGACTGGAACCCAGGGATGCTATCAGTCCTGCTCAGAGGCCCCCAGGAGGCCTGACATGGGCCCCGGCCACGGCACAGCAGCGTCTTCTGAGGCAGAGTAAAGAACTACCAGCAAGTCTGACGAAGGCCCAAGGGGGCTGATGTCCCAGAACAAATCCCCAAGACTCAAGTGTGGATCGAGGCCTCGGCCCTCTCTCTGAGGCTGGTCTGCTCCCCTCAGCCCCGGCACACAGGCAGGGTCCTGGACACTGCCCCTTCCCACGATGCGCTGCCATGGCTCTGGGGTGAGGGGGGCACACAACAAACTCAGTAACAACTCCAGAGCCTACTGTCCCTCCCCCAAGTGACCAGGAGGTGGCAGAGCCCCGGGAAAGGACGGGGGGCTGGGCAAGGCACCTCTCAGAGTAAGGCACAGGGGTTGGGGCTGGAACTGCAGGAAAGAGGTGACAGCCCAGCAAGACCCTTGGGAAGCAGGGACCATCTTGTTGGCTTTTTCCTATTTCACACAGGCAGAAGCTGAGACCCAGGGAGGCTGAGTAACCTACCCAAGGTCACACAGCAGAGAGAAGGCACAGCCACCATCCGAAGCAGGCTGGCCAACTGCAGACTCCTCGTACTGCCTTTTCCTGTTGGGATTCTAGAGCCAGAGAGACGTGAGCCGACTCCAGCCCTGCCTCTCTGGCGCTATGAGACCAACAGCAACTGACTGTGTGCCTCTGAGCCTCCTGCTCTGCATCTTAGACCTCCCTGAGTCCAGGCTGCTTGTGAGGCCCAGCGGGGAGAAGCGGCGCAGTGCCTGAGCGCCGCGAGCTGGGTACCTAGCGGCCGCCACGACTAGCCTCCATGGTGGTTGCTAGCCTGTGCTCCACTGTCCCAGGCCCACACCCCTCCTGCAAGAGGACCAGGCCAGACCCAGGTCCTGCAGAGAATACGAAGTCTTCCCCCTGCCCCTCCAGTCCCCTGGGGGACCCAAGGTACCCTCAGGACTGCCCCCAGCAGTGGAGAGGCTGCACCTGTGACCCCGACACCTGCCCCAAGCCCACTGACACTGGCCGTGCCAACCACCAGAAATTCTAAAAATCCACCTCCTTATCTGGGAGTGGAGATGGTGACACTCCCGGGCTGCAGGAATGCTGGCAGGGTGCCTGCCCCTCCTCCATGCTGGGAAAGAGGCTGGGAGGGGCACTCGGGACCTCACACACCCACTGCCTGCCCAGACGCCCCCCTCTGCCAACTCGGGGAGCCTCGGGTCAGCCCATTCCAGCAGGCCCAGGGCCTGGAGTCGCTGAGTGCTGACCAACTTCCCCCTACTCGCCCTGACACACCGGAATCCGCCCAGGCCCTCACTGCAGACCCCGAGCCTGCTCTTGGGATGCTGGATCCCAGCCAGGAGGCTCTGGAAAAGTCAGGTTGGTGTGGTAGAAAGAATACAAGGTTGGGACTTTTAGCCATGGCTCTGAACAAATTCCTTCCTACCCTGTGCCTCAATTTCTCCTTCTGTGAAACAGGAACTCCTCCTACCTCAACCTCCTTGTAGAACGCTGGGACGAATGAACCCAGGTTCCTGACATTACTTTAAAACCCTTCCAAGCAGCACCTCTTCCCTTAGGAGAGTCAAGGCTCAACAGCCTCAGTTTCTCGCCTGTGAAATGGGAAGAAGATATGCCCTGCCTCACTACACTCCACAGCTCTGGAAGCAGAGCAGCAGATGAGACCAACTCCCGCTGATGTGTCCTCATCTATAGAGAGACAGAGTGCGCCTCACTCCCAAGGCCATCAAGAGGCAGGCTCCTAGCAGGTACGGGCTGGGGGCACACCTCTCGGCATGGACGGCTGCAAGATGTTGCTTTAAGAAATCACAAGGGCACCCAGCAGGACCGGTCTCTCCCCAAAGGACATTGTCTCCCCATCAACTTAAAAGTCTGGGTGTGGGGCGTCCTCAGCCCAAGGGGGCGTGGAAGCAAACTCCCAAACTTGAACATCTCCTGCAGTGTGGGAGGAAGCGGCCCTGGGGGAGGGCCATGGGGCGGGAGGAAGCCCCCCTCCCCAGCGGCCCGCCTGTCTGGGGCAGGCCCGGACCTAGCGGAGCCTGGCGGCCGGAACAATGTCGGGCAGGTGCCGGCCGAGCTGCGTGAAAGGCCGGGCGCCGGTGTCATTGTCAGAGCTCAGCCGAGTGCAGAAAAGCAATTTACTGGTCACGCCACCCGCTCCCCGCGGAAATTTTTAAAATTCTTCCGATTTGAGCTGTCCGCGGTGTCCCGAGTCGGGGCAGACAAGGGATGAAGGGGTTTTATTAAATTCCCAGCCTCCCACTTCCCCCCGGGGTGGCCGGTGGGTGAGGGCGGGGCTCAGCACACTGGGGCTGGCGTTGCATGTGCTCAGGGACCTGTTCTGGGCCTGGTGGCTGATAGACAGGGGAGGACAGGAGCTCAGCCCTTGCTGAGACCAGACTAGCCCCAAAACACTGAGGCGGGGGGTGGGCAGGGCATAGGTGCCCGCGTTTCCCGGCAGAGCCAGGTGTCCCCCTGGGTGGGCAGGTGCAAACCTGCATGGCCTCTCCCCCTGCTCCCATGTATCAGGCCAACTGCATGGCCACCTGCTTCCCAGCAGAGGAGACTAAGACTCACCACAGGGAGCCACAGACAGCAGGAGACGGAGTTCCAAGTGCCACCCTGTACCTCACCCTGCCCTGGACGGAGCGGCCCCCAGCATGGGCCCGCCAGCTCCTCACTAGGGAGCAGGCAGACTGCAAGACTCCGGGCTACCAACACCACATGTCCCCTCCGTGCCACAAAGGCGCTCTCTGCCACCAAAGGCATCCTACCTTTGTCCTAGGAAGTGTGAATGGGGACCCGAGCCTGCCAACCTTGCCCATCACATCCCAGGGTAGCAATTCTTTACCTTTGAGGGGGGCCTTAGATGCATTTGAAAATCTTTTGGGTAGCTGAGGACCGCCTTCCAGACACAACACATTTGGACACCATTTTTGTGCAATGTCTCAGGCACACCCCTCCTCATAATCCCATGCTTAAACATAGACCCTGGGTGAAAACCATCAGTTCTGAGTGCAGAAAGGCCAGAGAGCACAAAAGGGCACAGGAAGGGGGAAGGAAGCAGGGGGGAGGAGGGGGAGTGGACCGGATCCTTCACCTGCTTAAAGGCTGCCTCCCCCTCCCCAACCCAGGGACCACCCAGCTCTCTCTCAAGATGCTGGCTCTGGCCCGGGGCTGGAGGGGGGACGCTGAGGCCAGATTCCCTGGCTCACACTGCCCTGGAGAACACAAAGACCACACGCAGCCCCTGTCCTGGGCCCCACTTCAAGAAACACCAAGAGGAGCATCCGGAGGTCTGGGCGCCAAGGTGCGAAGACTCCCCTCACCCCAGGCCCAGCGTTCCAGAAAAGAGCTTTGGCCGGGTCAGCCGAGCGGAACCCGTGCAGCGACCCGGGGGCCTGCGCTCTGCAGCTCTGCGTGGGGACCCTGCCGGGCACTAGCTTCTCTCTCTCTGTCCCCCAGCCCACCCCCACCCCCACGAGGGGCCACAGCTGCTTTGGCGACCAGCCAGTTTTAAGTTACTGACTCCAGTTGTATTGATTCAAGGAGTCAGTGGGGACTCCAGCCTGGCCAACAGGAGGAGAGAATCCATCAGCCGGGCCATCCACCTGTCCTGCCAGCCCCCAGCCCTCCCACTGCACCAGCGCAGGGACGAGACCGCCATGCTCGGGACAGGGTGGGAAAGAAAACAAGAGACCCACCACCCACAAATGCTGCAAGAGGTTGCTGGGTCTCCACAGCACCCTGCACACCAGAAATCTAGGAGAAACACCACTTGCTAGAGCTCCAGGCTCTCCCGGCATCTCCAGAGTCCAGAAGGCGCCAGCCCAAGCATCTTCCCCAGCCCTGAAGGACACCTGCCCGCAGCCAGGAGGGGGCGGGGGCGGGACGGCCCTCCTGCAGCCGCTCCCGCGCCGCGCAACTCTAGGTGGGTGGGGGCTTGGGCAGCTGGCCCTTCCTATCCCTTCTGCCCGCCCCTCACCACCACCACGCTGCGGCAGCGCTGGTCTGGTTCTAATCGGGGCTGAAGTCAGCTCCCTCGCTCCCACTCCTCCCTCCCGCCCGCCCACCCCCACCCCCTTTTCCCTTCATTTCCACGGCTTTGGAAGCCAGAGCGTTCCAACTGTCTGCGTGCCAAGACCTTCCCGAGTCTGAAAGCTGCTGAAGTAACAGATCAGATTTTAGCAAGTGCTTTCCAGGCTGAGCGCCAAGCCCTCTTCTGATTCACGGAGAGCGAGAGTGAACGGGGAGCAGGCGGGGAAGCAGCGAGGGCTGCGCCGCCTCGGGCGAGGGCGTACGGAGCGCCGCCCGTGCGGGAGCGGCCTCGCGGGCTGCGGGCAGCGGCCCTCGGCCCCGGCGCCCCGCGTCTGCCCTCGCCCTGCGTGTGCGTGTCTGTCTGTCTGTCTGTCTCTCAATGCTGCAAACGCCTTTGAAGCCAGAGAGTAATTTACAACCGAAGCTCCCTCCCCGGACTCGAAATCCACTCGGCTCAAACGAGCCTTTTTGTTTGGAAGAGCGAGCGGCGACGTGAAGGGAGGGTTAGCAGAGAAAAAAACCCCAGGTCCCGACTCCGGCAGCTGCGGGCAGGGGGCTCGGAGCACGGCGCACTGCTGCGGCTCAGCCCGCCGGCTCCGGGCATCTCCTCCCAGCCGAAGCCGACCGGGGCTGCGCCAGCCCGCGCCAGCTCGAGCCCCTTGCCCTTGGCCAGTCCCGGCCCGCGCAGGGTGCGCGCGGAGCCGCCCTTCCGCGCCCTGGGAACAGGTGCACTGGGCTCGGCGCCCAGGAGGGTGGGGCACAGGGAGGGGGCGCGGCCCGGGAGAGGGGGGTCGGCTTGCACCGCGAGGCAGGAGCCCACGTACCTGTACCTGGAAGCACAGCAGCAGGAAGTGTAAACACCTGCAAGAGAGAGACGGAGAGGCGGTCAGCGGGACTCGAGGGAGGGGGCGCGCGGACAGACAGACAGATACGCCGTCGCAAAGTCAGGCGACCAGACGGCCGGTCAGGGTGGGCTGTCCCGCGCGCGGGCGCTTACAGGCAAGTGCAGGCGGAGGGCGCAGAATACATCGCTGGGCGGGGGGGAGGCGGCGGCTCCTAGCCCAGCCTGCACATGTCCGCTCCGCGCGGCCGGGACCGGGCGCCTCCGCCGCCGCCGCCGCCGCCGCCGCCGCTGCTGCTGCTGCTGCTCCCTCCTCGCCGGCTGCTGCTGCTGCAGACTCTGCTGCTCCGGGGCGCTCCGCGGCGCGCCCTGCGGCATCAGCGCCCCGCGCGGCTCCTCCCGAGCGCTGCGCCCTGCGGGCTGGCGCGGGGGTTGCGGGGCGGCCGCCTCTGTGCAGGAGGTGCCCGGCCGGTGCGGGGAAGCTGGCTCAGCGCTGGCCGGCCGTCCGGCCGTCTGGCCGTCCGCGGGAGGCTGGCTGGCTGGCTGGCTCACTCCGGAGACTGCATGCGCGGCGGAGCTGGCAGCTGGGGCGCGCTCTCTGGCCGGGGCGCGGGGCTGCGCGGGGCCGGGGGTCAGCGCTCCGGAGCCGGGGCGCGCGGCTGCAGCGCAAACGCGTCACGGCCGCTCCGTCTGGGCGCCCGCCGGCTCATGTCTCCTCCTCCGCGTCTCTCCGGCCGTGCGCATCGCCGCCTCCCACCACTGGCGGCGGCCGGGGCGTTTTCTACGCGCGGGCGGCGAGGGGGCGGGGGGCCGGGGGCGGGCCCGGGCCCGAGCCGGCACAATGAGGATGCGGGGCCCGGGGGCTCCCCCCTCGGGGCGCGGCCGGACGGGCGCTCAGCTCGCCTGGGTGCGCCGCGCCCACATCAAAGGCGGCCCTGCCCGCTTGCCTGCCTGCTGCGGCCTCTCCACTGCCGCCGCCGCCGCCGCCTCCTCCTGGCGGCTCCGGTTGGAAGGGAGGCGCTCAGACTCCGGCAGCTCCGAAGGGGCAGCACCCGCGAGGCCGGGCCCGGTGAACGCTGGAAGCCGTCGGAGCGCTGCTCCCGGGCGCAGTGACCCGCGCAGCGGCGCAAACGTTGCCCGAATCTGGCAGGCGGCGGTCCCCCAGGTGGCGGTTAGGTGCGGGGCGTCCTCGTTCGCCCACAGTCGCTCCTCGCACGCACACCCACCCGCGCTAGAGTGGGGAGCGGGGAAGAGGGCGGGTCAGTCCCAGCCCTCAGGGCGGCTCCGCAGCTGAAGGGGGAATCGCTTTTACCCACCCCGTGAGCGGACCCAAAAGGGGGCCATTCTTAAGTCGCCCTCCCGGAGGGCTGGCCACTCTAAGGGAGCCCTTCCTCGCCCTTCCCGTGCTTGCTGCTAGAGGGTGAGACTCCGGGGTGTCTCTCCCCTGCCCCACCCCAGGCCTCGCTGGGGCTCCGGGGTCGCTTCTGGGGATCCCAGCTGGGCGCCTGGGTCAACAGCCAGCTTTGGAAACACACGGCTACCACCTAGCGGCCCCGAGCCGTCATTGCAACCTCAGCCGGGCACACCACAGGCCGAGGAGTAGCCAGGACTCTGGTCAGCGCCCACTTTAAGCCCAAGAGCAGGCTAAGGTTTGCTTCCGCCTGCAAACTGAGCAGCTTGGGTCTTTTGACTATCACGCTTCTCAAGACACTGTTTTGCACCGCTTCCAGTCCGTCCAGAGGCATAACTCCTGTCCTCTCCACAAACCCCCAAACCTATTCTCACACCCTGCTGCTCCATCTACAGCCCACGTCAGCCAGGCTCTGCTTGGCCTTATGCTAAAGGAAACAGGCCACAGTGGGAAGGAAACTGGAAAACAAGCTACAAAGCAAAACTCAGGAATCTTCTTTGGTTAAAAGCCTCCTTGCGTTGTTCGTTGTGGTTGATATTCCCACTCCACTAAGGCATAAACTGAGGCATGTGCTGCTTCCTAGACATGGAATATGAAATGTCAGTATTAGTTCCAAGTATCAAGCCTTCCTGCAAGCTATTTGAAGTTCAAGTTCCAAAGCAGAGGCGATTATTCCCAAAGATTTGTTTTTTAAAAGATTTATTTATTTGCAAGTCAGAGTTACACAGAGAGAGGAGAGGCAGAGAGAGAGAGAGAGAGAGAGAGGTTCACTCCCCAGTTGGCCACAACGGCCAGAACTTCGCCGATCTGAAGCCAGGAGCTTCTTCCGGGTCTCCCATGTGGGTGCAGGGGCCCAAGGACTTGGGCCATCTTCCACTGCTTTCCCAGGCCATAGCAGAGAGCTGGATCGGAAGTGGAGCAGCCGGGTCTTGAACCTGCACTCATTTGGGATGCCGGCACTTCAGGCTAGGGCAGTAACCTACTGTGCTACAGTGCCGGCCCCTCCCGAAGATTTACTTGAAACAGAGATTGGCGGGGGAGTAGGGTGCACTGGGAGTAGGGGGAGAGAGGGAGGGAGGGAAGAAGAGATTTTCTCCCATCTGCTGGTTCACTCTGCATATGCCTGCACTAGCCAAGATTGGGTCAGGCCAAGGCCAAGAGCCAGGAACTCCATCTAGGTCTCGCATGTGGGTGACAAGGACTCCAAGTACTTGAACCATCATCTACCACTGCTCAGGTGCATTAGGAAGAGCTGCAGCTGAAGCCTGGAGGATCCAGGACTCGAACCAGGCATTTTGATATGGGATGTAGGAGTCTCAAGTGACAGCTTAATCCTCTGCCACACCAGCCCACAAGCAGAGGCTGTTGGGGTTGGCGCTGTGGCACAGTAGTTAAAGCCCTGGCCTGAAGTGCCAGCATCCCATATGAGTGCCAGTTTGAGTCCTGGCTGCTCCTCCTCTTCTGATCCAGGTCTCTGCTATGGCCTGAGAAAGCAGAAGATGGCCCAAGTCCTTGGGACCCTGCACCCATGTGGGAGATCCTGGCTCCTGGCTTTGGATCAGCTCAGCTCCAGCCATTGCAGCCATTTGGGGAGAGAATCAGTGGATGGAAGACCTCTCTCTCCCACAGCCCCTGTAACTCTATTAAAAAAAAAAAAAAAAAGATGCTGAGTGATGGAGAAAGTCCTTGTGTGAAGCTACCCAACTAAATTTACTTAGAAATTCCCATTGCCAGAACTTTTTAAGACGTCTAAGATCCAGTTAAGGAGTGGTTTGAGCTCACCACCCACTAGTGTGTGAAGTACCCCCCAGCTAAGAGCTGGAGGTCTCTGTACTACGACTATTTTCTATTACTTTTGAACACACTGAGCATGTAACTACTTGATGTCCTACCTTTTTGCGTGCAGTCTTTTCCAGGGCTCTGATAGCGTCTTTGTTGATCTCCCCTATCCCACAAACAACACTGACCAAAAAGTCAAGAACAGTCTGGGGTTACAAGCATAAACGCAAGAATCAGAGGTCCGGGATTTGAATGTTGCCTCCAATGTTCACTTATAAATTCCAGCAAACAAGTCTGCAGACTGCTTCCTCATCTACAAAAATATGGCCAAGAACAGTAATAACTCTCAGAGTTGTTGAGTACTGGACGAAACCATCCAGAGTCTGGCGCATAAAGGCGGCTCCCAACATTTTAGCTGTTATTAACTCAGCCGTAGCTACGGTTTCCACTGTATTCTCACATTTCTTTCCTTTACAACTTCCCGAAGTGGAGAGGTAGGATCACTCCCAAGGTAGTTGAAAAGGCTTCTAACTAGAATATCTTGACTTCCTTTTACTAAATTATTCCTTTTTCTCACCAAGCACACGCTCAAACCGAGCTTCACACAGCTGTTACAATATGACCTATTTGCCACATGCATTCGGAATCACTTATCAATTCATTTGACCACTGTCTGTTGAGTCTCCTGGACTTTCAGCCTTCACAATAAAGATAGGAAAGGTCCCCTGCACCAAAAAAAAAAACAAAAAACAAACAAAAAAAAAAACAAAAACAAAAAACAAAAACAAAAACAAAAAAAACCTACAGAAAAGGCAGTTAGCTTCTACTAGAGAACAAGGGTAATAAGCAACAGACCAAGGCTAAGTGCTACTTCTTTGAATGGAGCCAGCAGGATGGGAAGAGATGTAGTGGTCAGAAGACCCCATGGAAACATTTAGGCTGAGAGCCAGATAGACGGTCAGTCATGCAAAGGAATATTCCAGGTAGACTTCAAGTGCCTGTAATGGAAAAAGGCAGAGGACAAAAACACAATTTGCTTGGCACCAGTTTTGTGGTATAGTGGGCTAAGCCGCCGCCTGCATGCTGGCATCCCAGATGGGCACTGGTTTGAGTCATGGCTGCTCCACTTCTGATCCAGTTCCCCGCTAATGGCCTGGGAAAAGTAGCAGAAGATGACTCAAGTGCTTGAGCTCCTGCAATCACATGGGAAACCTGGATGAAACTCCTGGCTCCTGGCTTAAGCCTGGCACAGCCCCTGGTGATAAGCCATTTGTGGAGTAAAGCAGTAGATGAAGCCCTCTCCCTCTCTAATAAATAAATCTTTTTAAATAATAATTAGCTTGATCATGCCTCATAGGAAAAATATAAGCCTTTTATTTTAGAATTTATTTGACAGAAAGTTCCCATTCACTGGTTCACTTACCAAACATACTGGAACTGGGAACTCAAACCCAGGTCTCACCCATGGGTGGCAGGAATCTAACAACTCAAACCATCACCTGCTGCCTCCCAAGGTGCACATCAAGCAGCTGGAATCCAGAGCTGAGCCAGGATTGGAACACTGTGATATGCTACATGGCCTCCCCAACCACTGAGCCAAACACGCACACCTCGGCATTTTTTTCACATACCATTTATATACAATTTTAATGCATCTAAGCATGCAGTTCGATCTTGACAAACTTAACTACATAAAAATGCACCTCCTCAGGTAACTTCCCCACCCCCAACCACTGGTCCCAGGCAGTTTTTCATATTTCACATAAATGGAACCACAAAGCATCGTGCTCCTTTGCGTGTAGCCTGGCATATTTTTTCCCAAGATTCATTCTTTCTGCACTTTCCAGTAGTCATTCCATCTTGTTGTTAAGTAGTACTTAATAGCATGGATATAACCAGTTGACAATTTATCTATCAAGGGCTTTCAGACTAAGGGTTAAGATTCAGTTACTCTGGCTTTTAAGAATGGAGGGAATGACACAAGTGGCAGTTGAGGGACCCACTAAGGGCCTCCAGGCTGTGGTGTAGCAGGTGAAACTGCCACCTGCAGTGCAGACATCTCATGTGGGTGCCAGTTCAAGACCCAGCTGTTCCACTTCCAATTCAGCTTTCTTATGGCCTGAGGAAAGCAGATGGCCCAAGTCCTTGGGCCCCTTGCATCCATGTGGGAGACCTGGAACTCCTGGCTCCAGATAAGCACAGCTCCAGTTGTTGAGGCCATCTAGGGAGTGAACCAATGGATAGAAAACCTCTCTTTCTGCCTCTGTAACTCCTGCCTTTCAAATAAACCAAAAAAAAAAAAAAAAAAAAATAGCCTTAAGGGCCTGAGCTGCATGGCTATCACTAGTTTGAGGATGCAGTTAGACACTCCCAACTCTAAGCTACTCAATTCACTGAGGGACCAGGAACAGCAAATTCTAACCCAATGACATCCTTCAGAGAACCCATTTAACTACTCTTTTTTAAGCACAATGAACTGATACTAGTTTTCCACTTTCTCCCAATCTTCATTGAGACTGATTCAAGGTGTTCATGGTATATACAACTAGTGTGGTGACAAAGATGAACATCCAACCCAACAGGGGACAAGATCTGCTCAAGCAGCAGCATCAACTGGATCAAGTTAGAGGTAGACCCTTAGCACAGGGGAGGCTCTCAAGTTCACACAAATGTGGGACCTATACTGGTAGGCCCATGAGTCAGGACACAGCTGGATGGACTGGACAGGACAGCTGGATGGTAGTGCTCCTCCTTGCACTTCCCGGAAAAACTGTAATCCTCTAATCTGGACAACGTATTTGTAATGTTTTACTATTTGAGAGACAGTTAGAGAGGGAGACAGAGCAGTCTTCCTTCCCCTGGTTCACTCCCCAACTGGCCACAACAGCTGGAGCTGGACCAATCTGAAGCCAGGAGCTTCTTTCAGATCTCCCATGCAGGTGCAGGGGTCCAAGCACCTGGGCCACCTTCTACTACTTTCCCAGGCCATAGCAGAGAGATGGATTGGCAAGGGAGCAGCTGGACTGGCACCCATGGGATGATGTCTCAAGCAGAGGCTTTACTCACTGTATGCCACAGTGCTGGGCCCAACCCCAAACACCCTATCTTATATGCAGAAAGGCTTCCTTTAGTCATCCAACTTCAATGTCCTTCCCCAGTGATTCCAATAGTCCCAAAAGGGTCTGTACCCGGTATTAACAAGGATTCCACCCTGGCTGTGGCCTATGGATATCATTGTTTTTCTCTGGAGAAATGGGAAAACAAACCTGATCACACTAAGTAGGTAGCAGCTTACCAAGGTTTGACAGAATCTTAAAGCAGCTTTTCTCAAATCTGTGATACAGCAGCTTGAAATATAAAAACCTGAAGTCAGGATGTAATTCACTGATTCCTTTGAGGTTGCTAGCTATCAGTCCATCATTCTGAAGACTGGCAAATATTTCTCACAAATGTAGGCACAAATGGAATCAATAAAATTTTGTTTTAAATGAAACCAGAGAAAATGCCTGCAGAGGGGCCCGTGTTGTGGGGTGCTGTATAAAGCCATAGCCTGCAACACCCAGATCCCATATGGGAACCCAGCTGTTCCATGTTCAATCCAACTGTTAATGACCTGGTAAAAGTAGATGGTCCAAGTGCTTGGGCCCCCAACACGCACAGGGAGACCTGGATGAAGCTCCTGGCTTTGGCCTGGCCCGGCACTGGCAGTCACTTGGGGAGTAACCAGCAGATGGAAGATCTTTCAAATTAGTCTTTTAAAAAACGGCCTGCAGAGCACTTGGCTAATCCTCCGCCTGCAGCGCCAGCACCCCAGGTTCTAGTCCTGGTTGCTCCTCTTCCAGTCCAGCTCTCTGCTGTGGCCCGGGGAAGGCAGTGGAGGATGCCAAAGGAGGATGCCGAAAGTGCTTGGGCCCTGTACCCGCTTGGAAGACCAGGCGGAAGCACCTGGCTCCTGGCTTCAGAGTGGCGCAGTGCGCTGACCATGGCAGCCATTTTGGGGGTGAACCAATGGAAAAAAGGAAGACCTAACTCTGCCGGTCAAAAAAAAAGCTGCCTGCAGAATACAAAGGTACTGCTAAGGACTATGCCATCAAGCAGCATTCTTATTCAGTAAACTGACTAGAGGTAAATACAATTGTTTCTTCAATACAATTGTTCCTTAAGGCCAGTGGCTCCCACTCAGAATGGTCCTTTAGGATGTCCTGTTACCTGAAATTGTTAGGTGAAGTTCAACTTCAGACACATAAGCCAATATGTATAATTGTATTTCCATTAGGGTAAAACCAAATATTAACCCCACTTTTGAAAATGTTACATACATGATCATCCCAACAGAGTGAAGTGCCCAATCAGGGCAGCGACTGCATCATGTGGTTCTTCGTAGCATTTCTTTATGGCGTTACTTCAATACCTGTTACTTATCCAGTAAGTTGGCCGAGTACTTCATTTGGGATTGGTCTAGCAATTCAGTTTATAAGCAGATCTTTCCCTGTTATGCCTCCACTATAATCAGCAGAAAAGCAACACATATTTAGAACAATTAAATCAGTGAGGTTGTTAACAACCTCAATGACTGGAGGCACTGACAGCTACTACACCTTTTGTCCTCCTCCACCACCTGGATTGACAGCCAGCCCAGTTGGAAAGGGCAAGGACTGCACACTCCCAAAGCTGCCTGCACGTGTAATCATACTCCACCCTACTAAATCAACATACAACAAGTTAGGAAGGGAAGCTGGGGGAGAAATATAAAACGGAATCAGGGATGAGACTCCTTCATAATTACAGTATTTTTTTAGATTTTAAGTACATTCCAAAGGACCCAGGCACTTAGTTAAAGCTAAAAATAAAGTGACAAAAATTTGAGAAGGCAGAAAATAGTCTTTCCTAAAGTTTAAACAAAGGAATGAGGAAAAATATCCAAAAGAATCAAACACAAAGCCCAATAGATGGAAGTGGGACCCTGAAATCCCCAATGGCCCAGAACTGGAGATCAGACCCAGAGTCCCTCAGGGCCCAGTTTATGAATTCACAAAAAGGAACATGATCAAGCCTCAGAACACAAGTCATTTACAAAAGATACAACTGCGGCAGTGGACTTTGGACTTTGCCAGAAAAAGCTACACATTTCTGAGATTCAGCCTAAAAGGGAGCCTTCAGTTGTCAAAATCAAGACAACTTAAAAATTTTAAGCATTCAGAAAATACTTCTCACATGTACTTTTTAAAACTATCAAGACAAACGACAGGAAGCATAGTAATCACAACAGTATTTCCAACTCAAAAATGGTGTAATCAGTTTGAAGTGTCATTCCTGGACAAACCAAGAAAAGTCACAAAAACAGCTTTCTTATCTCAACTTAGGCAAAGGACTGTAGGTTGGGAAGTTCACCTGGCTGTTTTAACATGCCAATTTCCTTTGGGAGTTGGAATAAGGTAAGCACAGGCAGAATGACATTTGGAAACATGTTTTGATAGCTGTAGTTGTTGACTATTGTCCTGAGGTGGGACTGTATGAGCACTAAATTGTCACGAAAAAATTGGTTAACTCCAGAGACTATTTGGAGGGGCAGGGACTTTCAACATGGGATTTCAGGATACTATCAACATACAACATACTATCTACATACAAAAGGTTAAATAAGTGAATAGAAAGAGTAACAGTTCTACTTTATTAAAATACTGAGTTTATTTCACATGTATATTTGTCTCCCCACCATTTCCACGTCTGACCACTGCTACTACTGTGTCCTATCATAACATTCCATACATACTTAAAACCAAGCAAAGGGTGGAGTCCCTTCTTTTAAAAACTAAACAGGCATTTTGGACAACACATTCTTGGCAATGGAACCTGGACAACATTTATCAAACACGGTAGGGAAAGTTCTCACTCTGCATTATAAAAAGGACAGCCAGATATCAACTGTTACAGAAATGAAATAAGACGGAAAATTTTAACAAACTGTTTAAACTATTTTCTTAAAGAGACTTCCTCCACTGCCAAAGATCTTGAATAGCCTGGAAAAAATAAAAAGAAATGTGGTTAAAGAACCACAGTATTTCACAGACATCAATAAATTAAACCACGTCTCTCTGCACTGTTCAACATCTATTTTTCATTCTACCACAAAAGACATTCACACTCCAGATAATTAAGAACTAATACTGAACAAATTTATATTCAAACCAACTTTCAAATATTCCAATTCAGACACAGAATCCCAAGATTCCTACATTAACAAATATAATTGACCAGTGTGGCCATCCAGCTGAGGAAAGACTGAGAGCAGTTTGGACAATACTGCCTCAAACTCCTCATCAGCCTGCAAATCAGCTTTGGGATTGCCCATCAACCAAATAAAAACTCAGGACAGAATTGAATTTATTCCTTTATCTGGGGAGGAGGATGATTTACCTAAATCACATCACTAATTTTACCCCAGATGGGAATTTCAGTCTCCTGCTTTATGGAAATTACTTTCTTCAACTGTCCACGGAACAGTCAATGAGAACTGCTAAGCGTTAGATTCACATACTGACATGCTGACATTACCTACTAAGACTTGCTCTTTGTATCGAGCTGGTGAAGCACGAAACACAACTCCCCATTTTTCCATAATTCACTACCATTTCATATTCATGATTTAGAAGTATCATTTACTTAAAAAAGCAAAAACCACTCAATTCCTATTTCCTTTAACATGATTCTACTTGTTCAAGCTGGTAGAATATTTACTTAAATCCTTCAAAAGATAACCATTTCAAAGCAGTATATCACATACATACATAGTTCTCCACTTAAGCTTTGAATTTATTAATTTTACTTTATTTGAAAGGCAAAGAGATATCTTCCATCTGTTGGTTCACTCCCCCAAATGACTGCCAAGGCCAAGGCCGGGATAGGCCAAAGTCAGGAGCTTCATCTGTCTCCCACAGGAGTGCACAGGCCTAAGCACTTGGGCTGTCCTCTGCTGCTTTCCCAGGCCAGTGGCAGGGAGCTGGATGGAAAGTGGAGCAACCCAGACTCCAACAGATACCCATGGGATACTGGTACTGCAGGCAGCAGCTTTACCTGCTATACCACAATGCAAAAAGACTGAAGAACATTAAATGGCAAATAACACAAATGTCTCCTAATCATTAACTTCAAACAATATGAAGGCTGTCATTTGCTCTAACACAAACAGATGCTGCCGGATTAGCATTCAGTAGGCTATGGACAGGACAGCCCAACACCTTCTGCAGATCACTTTGCTTCATTCAATTCTGCAATAACAGCTTGCACCTTTACATACAAGTTCAACAAAACTTCTATTTGTAGTTTCTACACAAAAGCAGCACAATTTTGATTAATTCTTTAGTAAGAGTTTTTGCAAGCATTTGCTATTGTTTCTTAAGTCCCATCTGGAAGAGATTTTAGCTGCCAAAGCCTTAAAAGTCTTTTGAGAAAAATATTGCACAAGCAAGGAGCTGTATGTTACTTGTGCCTAATCATGCCAGAAAAGCAATTTAGAGATGGTGGGTCTCTACAAGCTAAGCATCCCTTATCTGAAATCCCAACTGCTACAAAATCCATAGCTTTGAGCACTGATCGTTCAAGGACTTTGGATTTGATTCTTAGATTTGGAATGCCTGAAGGTTCCAATATCTAGAAAGATGAAATTTGAAACTGTTCAGTTACAAAGGCCAGTGGGTATGAAAGCAACATAGGTCCCAAGTGGGTGACAGGAGCTGTCACCACTACCTCCCAGGATCTACATTTGTAGGAAGCTGGAATTGGGAGCACTGAGTAAGGAAATCAATCCAAGTACTCTGATATGGGGTATAGGCATCCTAACAGCTTGGTTAAATGCCAACCTCAAGGAGCTTTTTATGTTTAATAACCTAATATTCACAGAAATCTAGTTTCATACCAAAGAAAATCAGCAACTGTAGAATTTGAATCAATTCCATGTTCACTCAAGGTTGACTACACAACTAACCATGAACAGGGCTGAATTGAAAGAACTACAAACCCAGAAACTAAGTCAAGTTGTGTTGCCATTCACACGATTCTTAAATGATAAATAGTGTGGCAGGAAAAGCTAATTGAAATTTTTAAGGCCGGCACCGCGGCCCAATAGGCTACTCCTCCACCTAGCAGCGCCGGCACACCGGGTTCTAGTCCCAGTTGGGGTGCCGGATTCTTTCCCGGTTGCCCCTCTTCCAGGCCAGCTCTCTGCTGTGGCCAGGGAGTGCAGTGGAGGATGGCCCAAGTGCTTGGGCCCTGCACCCCATGGGAGACCAGGAGAAGCACCTGGTTCCTGCCTTCGGATCAAGCGCAGTGCACCGGCCGCAGCGCACTGGCTGTGGCGGCCATTGGAGGGTGAACCAACAGCAAAAAGGAACACCCTTCTCTCTGTCTCTCTCACTATCCACTCTGCCTGTCAAAAAAAAGAAATTTTTAAAATTTATCGAAAATATTTAGACTTAGGAGCCCTCCACAAAGACATAAAATTAAACACAGCACCTGTCCTGTATATGCCTAATAACCTTATCTAATTGCTACATTTTTCTTTACAATTCTTAAGTCAGCAACTAAAAATCCAAATCCAAAAAATTAAGCCTACTAATAACACCTATACAATTATAAAATTCAGCGGCTAAATTTGGTTAAGACTTGGGACACCTGTGTTCAACACTGGAAAACCTCTGGGTTACTAACTGCTTCCTGCTAATAAGTGCCCTAGGAAACCAGGAGGGGAAGTCCAGCTTCTATCTGGCCAGCCTCAGCTATTGCAGGGATTCGGGTACTAACCTGTGGATGGAAGATTTTTGCCTTTCAGTAAATTACAGAATTAACTCAAGGGATTCAAAGATCTAGGTAAGTGCAAATTTTGGAAAAAAAATGCATGGGCTGGCACAAGTTTATATTCAATTCCATTTTTCTACAAACTCCTCGAAGAACTCATATATATAGCAAGTACAATTTGGCTTCTTGCTCTCTGAATTTTATCCTTTAGGTTGATTTTAGCAAAATTGTCTTCAGCTCCCAAGAAAGCCAAGAGCAGACTGCTCCAGACAGCCTAACAGAGCAACAAGGAAAACCACAGCTGGTTTCCTTAGCCAAGACAGCGCCAGAAGTAAAACTGGGCTCAGTAATCAAGAGGTAATTTACCAACTATATAAAAGCTGAGAAAAACGTACTAAAAATGTTATCTTCCCAGCCTCTGCCAACTCAGTTTTTAAGAGTTTCCATGTTATTTAATCTGACGTATTGTCTGTGGTCAGGAGCCTTTTAAAAAGAGCCAACAGTTAAGAGACTAAAGGAACAAAAGGGGAATCTTGATGAATCACCCAAGTCTGGATTGAGTCACAATGCAGAAAATGCAGTTACCTCCTGGTCAGTCATCCGGAAGCAATTCTTCACATAATTGATGAATTTGGCTTCCACTTTGGGAAGAGAACCACCCTATTGAGAAAGAAGATTAAGGATAAGTACAGTAACATGTTGTTTAACAAAGCAACTGTTAGGAAGATCTGCATGCTATTACATGAATTAGTTTATTCCTTATCCCTTTAACTTTACGGAACAGCTTTTAGGTCTAGGACATATAGTGGGCAGCATAGACTTTCAAAGTAGTCCCCCTCTACAGACGCCTTCAAAGATCCAAATCTTGCCAGGTAGTCACTCTAGGAATAAACATAGGCTACACTTGAGGTGCTTCAGGTATACAAACAAGCAACCACCTTCTACCACCCAGAACCAAATAAAAACGCAATCCCCTTTGAGAACTACATCACAAGTGACCAAAACTGTGTAATATAACATTTAATATTCACCAAGAACTTAGGTCCAGCACAATAACCTGGTATCAATTTAGGCAATGAGATGTTGAATGGCGAAATCCTAACATCACTAATTTGTAACAAAAATTGATCATTTCCTTCAAATTTTGGCTGCAGTCAACAAAGTGTTAGCAATACTTGTATTACCAAAATTTAAGACACTGCAAGCACTGCCAACACCTTAAACTGTTCATACTTAAATTTACCACTTAGGAAACATTTTGAATTTTTACTGGCTTTTCTTGTATCCTAAATACCACCTTTCATGCATTTTAAAGAAGGTTCCCAAATGGCAAATGGACCAGGCCTAACACCCAGAAAATAAACCTCACTGCAATCATTTTCATTTTTAAATTATTGTCACATACATTCTTATTTTATCAATTCAAATTTATTAAACAGCTAAGGAAATACAAAAGTAATTAACACATGGTTAAAGAGATGAGGAATATGCACATGTAATAGAAAGCAATGTCAAAGGTTTCACTGAATCACAGCAGTCACAGCAAAGTGCTAAAGGAGATTGCTTCAAGCCTGGAAGGGAGTATGGATGGCATATCAGGAAAGGGGATTGAGATTAAAATAGAAGACTTCAGTCTCGACTGTTGATGATACTCTGTATGGACTATATTTGTTTCTCCTTTTCCTCTCCCAATCTTTGGGCTTAATTAACCAGT